AAACTTGGACTGGAAATCCCATTTAAACCAGCTATTCCTTTATGGGGAATTTCCTGGAGGATCTGAAATCATCATATCACAGTGACATATATGTTCCTATGTTTATAGGAACACAATCTGTAATAGCCAAATCTTTGAAAGAACCAAGACTCACATCACATGAGGAATGGATGAAAAGGATGTGGTATTTTTATACAACACAATATTGCTGAACTATCAGAATGATAAACTTGAAGCTTTCATATTGAAGTGGAAGCCACTTGAAGATATACTCATAAGTGAAATAAACCAGACACACATTTGTAAATACCATATAGTTTCCCTAGTATAAGAACTCAAAAGAAGAAATACAGATAGAAATGTATAACACAAGTAAAAAAGAAGCAATAACTTTAGGACTAGACAATGAAGAGAGAATAAGGTGAAGAGCTGGGTAACATGAAAGAGGCAAGCCATACAGTTATATGTAGAAGATGGTTAAGACAATGATCCTGGAAATCTTCAGAAGATTTTCAAATCTAGCAGTTAATTGGAAGGATTCTCACTCTGACTAACTATATCTACTGACACCTGTGAACTAAGCAACTACACTGAAGATGGCAATTTGTAAAGGTAGGTTCATGTTTGGAGTGCCTGTTATTCTGGTCTTCTGAATATGTGCTGATTTTCATGACACGCCAGTTGTTGTCGTGCTGTCTCTCGGGGAGATGATTGTTTAGAAAGGAAGGCAGTGGTGAATGAAGGCAGGAGACAGGAAAAGAAGTGCTGCTGGAACAATACAGTATATGGTTAGATTTCTGGACTTATGTCTAAACATATATAATCATATTTTAAAATATATTTTAATATTTTAAATTTTTGCCATATTCTGTAGGGACTTAAAGTTCAACATATCGATACTTTGTGAAAAATACCTGCTTGATGTTATACCTAAGATGTTTGATATTCAGACAGATAATGAGGTTAAGCTCAACAGCCTAGGTTATATGGTAATAACAATAAGCTTCTCTTCTGGAGGGTTAACAACCTAAGTTTGCAGACCAAAAATTAGAGAAGAAGGAGGGCAGCAAGTAAATCAAACATCTTGGCCCTAGCCTTCCATGATCAATTAAGACTCAGGACATATGAGAACTTGTACTGTAACATCATATAATTCAATTGTGTCCCAAATTATCTGATCAAGGAGGTTATGGGGCCAAAGAGGAAAGTGATCCATGATGTAGAGTGTGCCTAAGGAAAGTCACATGAAGAGAAAATATTTTCTCAGGCTTTCACTGAGAGCACATTGGCCAAATAATGGCCGTGACTCATCCACATTGCAGACACTGACAAAGGATCTACAATCTGAGGTACAGGGTCTCAGGATAAATCCTGAAGGGATTTGACTGACCTCATCAGATCCAAAAGCTACAATTCTTGTTACATAGTTCTTGCTTTATCTTGGCCTTAGCAATCCAGCAGAAAAGTATAAAAATGAAGTACAAGAAATAAAGCCATGTTGTTATGTTGAGCTGTAGGGGACTCAGGTCAACAACTTCTAACATTTTTAGTCAAGTGGAAGACCCTATGCTGTTATGGACTACTAGACTATTTTGGAATCTTTTGCTGAGTTCACACACCTATAATATTTAAATGGTGGAACTAAACAAAAAAAGGGGATATAGATGAATGACCATTTTGCATCTGTTTATTCACAATGATTAGGATAGATATATAGCTACATTCTCTTAATTCAAGGAATAGAGGGATTTGTTCTAATAGTGTTTGTAAATAGGATATCATGTCTGCATCGTGTGCAACAAATAACCACTAGGAAGGCAGTATGCAATGTATTAATTGTTGGAACTGTCCTACCAATTTGATGTGAAAATGTATCATTGCTATTTATTTCTCAATAAAATTATGGAAAAAAAGAAATTTATGCCTGTATAGCCAACATTAAATATTTTTCATGTAAATATAAATATCAAACTTAAGTCAAATAAATATGGATTTTAGTACACAATGCCAGTACTAGACATAGTATTTTAGGCTGTGTTTTTAAAATTTCAATTATGACTTTTAGTATCACATAAAATGTACACATGGTATTTATTCTTTGTATTTACATTTGAATCAGCATGATTAATGATGGGTTAGAAAAATTGTTTAATATTGTCAAAGAGAGAATGACCAAAGGAGGAAATGGTTTAAAATGTTATTTGAATATAGTATGCTTGAAAGAATAGTTGATATAATTTGTATTTCTTTCTTGCATAGAAATTTTCTTTATTACATGAAGATGTCCTTACATCTTCTTAAGATAACACTTAGATTTTCTTTAGACTCAGAATATAAAACATTGAAACACAATGCCTAAGATAACAAAATAATCCCTTCTTAAATTACCATATTTTAAGGTATTTATATTTCCCTAAAGATTTGATATTTAATTAGAGGAAACTATGATGATTATAGCAAATCGGTATTAAATGCTATTTAATGAGAAAAATCAGTAATGAAGGTTTGTGGAAGATCCAATTTTACTTGCAATGATTTCATTATGATATTAGATGTGACAGTGATTACTTGAAGCTTGCTCCTTAGAATTTCCATTTCACATAATTTTACTGACGATTTAATTTATAGCCCAATTAGTCAATTTTCCAAATGCCATAAATGAGGCACACCATAAGAGTCTATTTTGTGTACCCATCTGTCATGCACTCTGACTTTCCTTTTTTTCAAGAATTGGGAATTTATTGAGATTTTTTTTCTGCAAGTTAAAAGCAATCTGAAATATCTGCTATTCTTATAATATGTCCACTATGTTAAAATTGTTACCTCCCAATTACAATGAAAGTTTTCTTCCCAATTTTTGGGAGGTAAGATTAATGTTTGGTGGTTAAGTAAAATTTTACTAATATTTCAAGGAGTTAAATGAGTAAATCGATTCCCTATGGCTGTGAGTTTAATGGCTTTCTCTTGCTTTTCCCTTCTTCCATAGAATGATGCAGAATGGAGATCCTTGCAGTTCCTGCAGCAAAGTGTTTCAGGTTTAATAGAGGAGATGGAAAGAAGGGAATGGAAAGAGAAAGGCAAGACAAAGCACAAAAGCCAAAGAATGAGCCAACAATGAGCATAAAACACACACGGAATAAGTTATTCATGTAGATCAGTGAGAGGTGAATTAGTTTGCAGCCATGATATAATAATGCATAAAGCCATGGCACCATTAGTGTTAAATTGTGGGAGGGGTGGTGGAAGAAAAGGTCTAATAAAGGTTATTGTATAATGATGAGAATGATAAAACCTACTCTTGCGAGTGGTTACAATGGGATGGGACATACTGGTAGATTGAAAGTAGTTTTGAAATTATTAGATCAATGCAATCATTGTCTTCAAATACTTGCAAAACTGAGAAAATTTTAAAAAGCCAAAAAAATCAATAATGGAGTGAAAGATTGCAATATTAAGGCAAGAACTTAGTGACTAAGGTTATTGACCTTTTAATTGTAGCTACATGGGGATGTAACTCAAATTGACCTTGGGTCAACAAGTAAGTAGCAATATCAGATGCAAGTAGGAGATCAACCTATAGTTAATTTCTAGAGAAGACAAATAAAATCATATATCATATCCCATGGATAAAATCTTAAAAGATTTGTGGTTTTGTTTCAAATTTGAATCTTATTTCCTGCTTCTATTGGATTTATTTAACTTTGGTAATCTCATGTGTAGACTAATAGAAAATTTCTTGATTTTATATAATAAAAATATTTCTAGGAATTTTCTTGCTTTTCTAAATAATAAAGTTTTTTATTATGGCATTTGTCACTGTCATTTAGGTTATTTATTTATTCATTTTATTCATACATGTTTGTCGTACATAATGATCACATTCATTATAGGAAATTTGTACTTGTATATAATTACAACTTAATTCTTTTCTTTTTCTCATTCCCTTCAGTTTTCTTTGACTTTTCTTTTTCTCCCTATTTACAAAAGCTGTTTCCATTTTTCCTTCAACTTTTAACTTTTATAATTCCTTTACCTTCCTTCCTTTCTTATTCCCTATCCTTTTTTTCCCCTTCCCATTTGAGTGCACTCTTCCTACTTCCCAATATTTACCTTATATTTTGATCCTATTTACTCTTTGGGTTTCTCACGCAAGAGAAACAATGTAGCATTTCAACTTGTGTCTGATTTGTTTCACTTCAAATTATAATATTGAGATGCATCTATTAACCTAAAAATGTTTCACGTTTATCTTTCTATTTGACAGACTAGTACTCCATTGTACATAGAAAGCACATTTTCTTTACACATTTATCTGTTGATGAGCATATAGGAAGCTTCCAAGATTTAGCTATTATAAATTACACTGCTATAAACTTGGGTGTGCTTATATCACTGTGGTATATGGTGCTTTTATCTTTCTATGGAAGATGCCAAGAAGGGGAAGAAATAGTCATATTAAATAGAAACTCTAGTTGTATGTTTCTGAGGAAGGAATAGGTCATATTAAATAGAAACTCTAGTTGTATGTTTCCATAGTGGTTTTACCAATTTACACCTACCAACAGCAGAGACCTGCCAGCATTTGTTATTTGTTGCTTGGTTCATGATAGCCTCACATTCTGGAGTGAGACGGAATCTCAGTGTTTTAATTTGCATCTCTTGAATGATCAGTTATGCTGAACATTTTTTCATACATTTTCTTGTATTCTGAGAAGTGATGTCCATTCCACATTAGGTCTTTAAATTTTGGGGTTCTTGTTAGTTGCTTTTTAGTTCTTTATATAATCTAGATAATAGTCTCTTGTCTAAGTGGTAGTTTGTAAAAACATTTTCTGTTCTGTGAGTTGTCTCTTTATCATTTTGGGCAGTTTCTTTCCTGTGCAAAATATATCAATTTGTGTGATAGAAGTTGTTGGATCTTTGTAGTTTTTCTTGGGCAATGAAGTTTTGTTCATAAAGTCCTTGCCTAAACTTATTATTTTTTAAGTGTATAACCTTCTAAAAATACAGAACACTTCACTAGTTTGAGTGTCATCCTTGCTCAGGGGCCATGTTAATCATCTCTGTATCGTTCCAATTTTAGTATATGTACTACCGAAATGAGTACTTACCTAAACTTATGTCTTCAAGATTTTTACTTATTCTGTTGTCCCACAGCTTAAGTGTTGCTTTTAATATTTAGATCTTTGATCCATTTGATTCTAGTTTAATGCATGATTGGAAATATGGGTCTAAACTTAATCTTCAGGATACAGAAAACTAGTTTTCTGAAGTATGATTTATTAGAGAAGCTATCTTTTAGTGAAGGTATTCATACTCTTTGTGAAAAATTAGGTAATTGCATGTTATTTGAATTGTTTCTGCATATTCTATTCTGTTCTCTATTGTCTCTTTTTTGGCCAATATCTGATTTTTTAATCACAGTAGTTCTTATAGTATAACTTCAAATCATAGACTATGATAACTTGGCTTTTTTTCAAATAATTCATTTTGCTATTCTAGGTCACTTCTGATTTCATATGAGTTTCAAAATTGTTTTCTCCAGTTCCCTGAGTTATGCTATTGCTATTTTGATTGGGATTGCATTGCATCTGCATGGTTTCTCTTCAGATCATAGAACTCTCTTGCCTTTTACATAGTTGAAAGTATGACCATTTTCACTACATTTAAGAAGGAACATCTTTTTTCTGATTCTTTTTGATCTTTTCCAGAATAATGCAGTTTTCATTTTAAAGGTCTTTCATTTCTTCATCAGACTGGTTTTTAAGTAGGTCATTTATCTTGATTCTATTGGGAAGCACATTGTTACCCTAACTCTCTCAGTGACTTTGTTATACATGTACAGGAATGCCACTGATTTCAGGGTGTTGGCTTTGTATCCTGCCATGCTAGTAAATTTAGTTATTAAAGCTAGGATTCTTTTTATGGAGATTTATGGGTTTTCTTTGTGGAGTATCATGCTATGAGTAAATCAGGACAATTTAAATTTAAATTCTTCCTTTTCTATTCACATTCCTTTTACAGGGGTGCCTCAATTCACAAACTTCATTTGTGCTGCCATTTTGGAATAGATGTCCTTTTTCATATTCATGCAGGAAAGATTGATATGGTTGTGTTTGTCATCTGATTCAAAAGTATTATACAAAATAAAATTTAAAAATCAAAGTAAAAAAAAACAACAACAAAAATTGTTCACAAACAAAAGTATTCATGAACCAAGGCACCACTGTGTTTCTTTTGTTTATTTCCTCTAATTTCCAGAACTATATTATATTGCCTTCTAGATTTCTGCAGGATCTGTTGTGATATCACATTGTATTTGTAATTTAATTGTTTGGGGTCCTTTCTTTCCTCTTTTGACAAGAATGGCTAGGGATTTCTTTATTTTATTTCATTTTTCAAAGAACCAACACTTATTCATTGATTATTTGAATTGTTTTCTTAGTCTGAGTTGCATTATTTTCTGCTCTGAACTGCATTATTTCCCTCAACCTTGGATTTAATTTGTTCTTATTTTACTAGAGTCTTAAACTTCAACAGTAGGTTATTTATTTGAACTTGTACCATTTTTCTAATGTGAAAATTCACTGCTATAATTTCCCAGGTAGGTCTGCTTTTATTGTATCCCATAAGTTTCATTATAGTATATTGACACTATCAATCAATTATAAAACTGTCTGATTTCTTCTTTAATTTCCTATGTAACACATTGACTTTCCTGAGTATATTATTTAATTTCTGTTTGTATACAGTGTCTGAGGATTCTTTGGCATGTATTTTCAATTTCATTGCACTATGATCTGAAAATATACATGGGATAATTTCAATTGCTTTGTATTTACTTAAGCTTGCTCTACAAGCTAGTATGTGGTCTATTTTGGAGACATTCCCATGTGCTGCTCAAGAAAACATGTTCTCTGATTTTGGGTGGAATACTCTGTACATATCTACTAAGTCCATTTGTTTAAATGCTCTATTCATCCCTGATGTTGATTTTTTTAATTTTTTCGTTAGATAACCAGTCTGTGACAGTTGTATTAGAGTTTATCTGATTTTTCATAGCCATTAGTGTCTGTTTTATATAGTGGGTGCATTACTTGGCATGTATTACATTTATGATGTTATTTCTTCCTACAGGATTGTTCCATTAAGAAGAATGTCATTACCTTGTTTCTTTCTTCTAATCAGTCTTAGTTTTGAAGAGTACTTTGCATGAAAATAGAAGTTATTCCTTTTCTTCTGGGTTTCTATTGCATAACTTATTATTTTACACCTTTTTACTTTAAGTCTAAGAATTTGTTTTGAGTTAAATACATTTCTAATGTGAATAATAGTGTGGCATATTGTTTCTTGTCCATTGTTCCAAATTGCTTCTCTTTATTGATGAATTCAGATGTAACGATTTATCCTTGCATCATACTACTTTCTTGTTGTTGATTTCCATTATTTTCAGTTGCTTGCCTTACCTGGTTGATTCAACCTACTGGGATTTTTTTTTTTTTTTTGGCGGAACCGGGGATCAAATTCAGGCCCTTACACTTGCCAGGGAAGAGCTTATTCCACTGAGCCATCTCCCTGGCCCCCGCTACTGGGATTCTTGCAATTATTGTCTTCATTTTCTCTTTCTAGAATATCCTTCAATATTTTTTGTATTGCTGGATTTGTGGTCATGAAATTCTTAAGCAGTTCTTTCTATCAAGGAAATATTTTATTCCTCCATAAGTTTTGAAAGATAATTTTTCAGGGTACAACAGACTCTGCTGGATTTTATTTTTTTTTTAGGGCTTTAAGTATTTCATGCTTTCCTTGAGTTGAGGATTTGTGGTGAGAACTCTATTATGATTTTTATGAGCTTTCCTTTATTTGTTTATTTTCTCAGAAAGTTTGCTTTTGATTTTTTGTTGTTGTTGTTGTTTTGTGTTAGTTTGTTTTTGTACCATGAGTCAGTCTTAGGTTCTCATGCTTGCCAGACAGGTGCTGAACCAGTAAGCTAAATTCTCACATCCTGTCTTTAATGTTCTGCTTAGTGTTAAACTGCTAAAATCTTGATTATTATATGCCTTGGCATAATTATTTTTCTAAAAATGGCTATTTGGAGTTGTATATGCCTCATTTATTTGTATGTCAAATATTTTCTTACTTACAAAACTTGCTGCTATTTCATCTTTGAATTTTTTTAATGTTCTTTGTGATAGCTTCTGCATTTTTACTGATTCTAATTAATCTTATGTTATTATGCATTTCATACTCTAGTAGCTATTGGATTGACTTTTCATGATCCTGTGCTGTTTGGAAGAAGTCATCTATTTGATGATCCCTAACAAAAATCATATATTCCACATCAGGTATTATATATTCATGCTGGTTGACTCTGCTGCATATAGAATAGAATGTTTTCTTTTTCTTTTTTCTTTTTTTTTTTTTTTTGGCTGGCTCAGGCTGCCTTAAGGGCGGGTCTAGTAAGACATGGGGAGCTGGGGATTGAACTGTGGTCCCCCACACCTGACTGGGTTTGTGCCAGCAGGTGCTTACACTAGAATGATTTTCTTAATATGCTAGATTTCTGTGTGAATCTGTTTTATGTGATCCAGATTTCCTGTGTTGAGCATTCAAGGTTTCCATGTTCTTAAACTTGTGACCAAGATTTATCACTACCTAACCTAGATTCACTACTCATTCCAATTATAATGATCATCATTTCTTTAATTGTCTGTATAATTACTTGTGTTTTAGTTTTCTCTAGAATGTCCTTAATCTACTTTGCTACTTCTAGTATTATCATTTCAGAAAATCCATGTAGGTGGCTTTTGATTTATTCCACCTCATTGTCCTCTGGGCTTATTTTGGGTAAGTTGAATGTTTTGGATTACATTTGCTTCTGTGTTTTCTTATTATTTATTTTGTTTGTTTGTTTATGAGTTTCTGCCTTTGTGCTTATACATTGCTTATGGTAGGTAGTTTTATCACTAATATCAAAGTTTTCTTAGGTAACGACTTCTCTTTGAAAATGTCCTGTAGATGTAACTGGCTTTTGGCATTTAAGTCTGTCCCAAGACCCTGTATCTTCTTTTTATTAAGACTGACTGCTTGGGGCCAGGGAGATGGCTCAGTGGAATAAGCACTTTCCAGGCAAGTGCAAGGGCCTGAGTTCAATCCCTGGTTCCACCAAAAACAAGACTGACTGCTTGTCTTAGTACCCAGTTCAATGCACTATAGTATTATTTATAACCCTCAGGCAATCTAGGTATTGGAATATAAGTTAGTTCAATTGATTACAGTAGGTATGTCACCTTGGCTAAAATAGTTCAATCAGTAATAATGAGAGCATGAAATGTAAATTTGACAAAGAAACACTATAATAACTGATACATTGCCAACTTCAATCACATGTATGATATTTATAGTTATTTAGAAAAAAACTAAGAAAAATCATAGTTATATATTGTCAATATCTACTCAATAGAGTAACTTACTCCCTTTCACTCTAAAACAGTATTAGCCTGCAGTAAGATATATTTAGCTACTTATGTGTTCATAAGAGTAAATTGTATTAGTGTGGTAGCATTAAGATGAAAGGGAAATAAAATAGATCATGAAAAATAAAGTAATATGTTATGAAGAATGCTAAGATTGATTTAGAACTTTTCTCTGTCTCTGTCTCTGTCTGTCTCTGTCTCTATCTCTGTCTCTCTCTGTCTCTCTCTCTCTCTCTGTCTCTCTGTCTCTGTCTCTCTCTCTGTCTCTCTCTGTCTCTCTCTCTCTCTCTCTGTCTCTCTCTGTCTCTCTCTCTCTCTCTCTCTCTCTCTCTCTCTCTCTCTCTCT